GGAGGATCACTTGAGCCCAGGAGTTTGAGACCAGCCTGGGCAGAATAGCAAGACCCAGTCTCTAACATATATATATATATGTATATGTAATATAAAGGTGTTATTGTGTGCTATATTACTTTCCAGGGACATCCAAATGTTTTACATTACTTTAAGAATCTTTACTTGATATAAGAACAAAGTATAAGGGTTTAAAAGTTGTTTTTATTAAACATACTATATAAGTGGGTTAATGGTCTATTTCTCAGTTTTTACCAGAACCATGTGTCTCACTTTTTGTCTTTGCTTTTTAAAGAACTAGTTCATGAAATTAGTGTTAGTTCATAAATTGTTTAAGAAGTTCCTTTCCCATTGAATTAGATTGCTATAAGAGGGAGAAAAGGGGAAACTTCCCATAAGAATAGTTTGAAAACAAATTGACTTGTTCATTTCCATATTATCTGCTTGATGATACGGAGCCAATGTCAATTTTTCTGTTAGTGAATGTTTTGAACTAGATGTTTGTTCCCATCCCCAAAATTTATATGTTGAAGCCCTTATCAGTGTGATGGTATCTGGAGATGGGGCTCCTCCAACTATTCCATCCCACAACATCCCCGCCTGAGGACACAGCGGGAAGGTGACTGTCTATAAGCCAGAAAGAAAGTAGTCACCAGAAACAGACCATGCGGACACCTTGAGCTTGAACTTCTAGCCCCCAGAACTGTGAGGAAATTAATTTCTGTTGTTTAAACCACCCAGTCCGATGGTATTTTGTTAGGGCAGTCTGAGCTAGGACAGTGATGTAAGATAGACAGCTAGTAAGGTAAACTTTTCAAAGGCAAGAAAGGAAGATATACAAGAAATTGAAAGAATAATTAAGTCAGTAAGAGGTAGTATTCAGTTTTGGCAAACTCCTCTGACTTGAGTTGAAAAGGCTTTTTTTTTTTTTAGAGTAAAAACCAAATAACTAATTCTAATTGACAAAAAAAAAGGTAAACAAACATCCTAAATAGCTGCTGAAATTTCCATGTGTCTTATAGTTTCTTTAGGTCTGTGTTCCTAAGATGCTTAAAATTTTATCATGAAAAAATCCTATTTTCTCTATACCCTTCCTGTACTATTCTATTTTGGAACTAAGAATCAATAAGTGGCTTGGTAATGAGCTCATTGTCCTTCACTTTTGCTTTATTGATTCATGATACACTTATTGAAATGTAATAAACTATTCATAAACTGGCAAACTCCAATTGTCTCATAGTTTCTCCAAAGAGGTATGTACGTCTTTCAAAAAGATAATGTTACCAATTTTAAACCATTTTGATTTTATGTCTAGGTGAAATGCTGACTCATAGCCCTTGACCGCTGTTTTAGAGTTCAGGCAATCCTCTTTAAAAAATGTGCTTGAGGTACCAGGGGAGAATAACAGTTTCAAGTACATGAAGGGTTATTAAGCAGAAGATGATAAGACATCTTTGCTTAATTTCCAGAGAGGCTACAACAAGGGAAAAGGCAAATGAAGTTGTGGATATGAAAATAACTGTACCTTGGCTTTCTGTAGCTCTTCTGGCCAAAGGTGCTCAAAGAATCTTCAATAGATATTTTATCTTCACAGTATATGTATGATGAGGATAGCGCTGTGGAAAGTAAGACGATGCTTAAGGAATTTTCCCAAGGTCACACAAGAAGGAGGACTAATTTCTATTTTCTTGACTTTCTTGTAGGGACAGTTGTTAAAAATTGAAATTGGGCCAGGCGCGGTGGCTCACGCATGTAATCCCAGCACTTTGGGAGTCTGAGGC